TTGTGTGGTTATGTTTGGACCTCATTGCATTGAACAAGAAGGCAAGACCAACTTGCAAAATCAACTCCTCTTTGTATTGCATCAATACTTTCTGGGAGTGAGGCGCAATGTCACAGGCAGTCTCGGTGACTACCGTCGGCCTACCTACAAAGAACAACTCAAAGTATATCAAAGTAAAGTCTGACTCTGGACTCTGAACGCTTTTGGCAGTTTCTTTTGCACCTCACCAACACCAACTGTTTTGAAACCTGGTGCCTTGTTGTGGGTGACATATCCGATGAAACTGCCGATGCTGCTGGTGCAAGCAAATTCCCACCGTCCCTAGCCCACTGTAGGATTCATGAAGCTCAAAATCATACTTCATGATCCTTTTGGCATTGGCTATGTGAGTTTCTGCATCAGGACACATTTGCAAAAGCTTCTCAACATTCCTAGCTGGCCAACGGAAGAGTTCCTGCAAAGAGGCAGGCCCATCTGGTAGCTTCATCCTTTTGCACTGATGAAATGCTCTGGTTGCACACTTCATATCATCTGCAGTGGTTCGAAGGTCCTCGTTTTCTACTTCTACTTCTGAGCCTGCTTCCTTTGCCTGATCTTCAACCTCTGCCTGAGCATCACCTGTTGTGATGATAGCATCTGCAGGCGCCTGCAGAGACATCATACAAAAACCAATGCAATGTTCAAGCGGAAAAAATGAAATTCAACTCTGAAGCCTTTGCAGGCTCTTGCCCAGGACTGGAGGTTGGACTTGAAGGTGAAGTTGAAGTGGAAGAACCAGAGCTAGAGCTGCTACTTCCAGAGGGACTTTTGCGATCGACAATCGGTTTCGCATCCATAAGTCGTGGTCGTGGCTGACTACAACAGAATCGGTGTTTGAGCTGACATTTGATGGCCATATCATTTGTTTAGCTCAAAACGCCAACAGACCCAAAACAGCTGTCCAACCTGCTCACTCAAGGAACACGAAATGTTGAACACATTCCGCCGACCCTTCTGTGAAGGAATGGGATTGGCGAAGGCAAAGTAATTGAAACAGCTATATTTATCTTTTGTGTGTCCACATACACACACGGGTCCTTTTTCTGAAATTCCAAAATGAACTATGTTTTATCACAAAATATATATAATTGAAAGCTATTACACTTAATTCCCAAAACAAACTATATTTTACACAAAATATAGTTTATTGACAAATTTTATAGTTCAGATCCAAAATGAACTGTATTTTGTTCACAAAATATAAATCATTGAAAAATATTATAGTTCAGATCCAAAATGAACTATAATTTATAACATACTTTTCCTTCAGTGAAATCATTGATTTTTCAAGCAAATCACCAACAAACACTGGATTAGATGAAGGGTCTTCCTGTATGTCCCTTCATCTAGTTCAATGTATTTTGCATTTTATCATCCAAAATGAGTGATTTCACTGAAGGAAAAATATGTTTATAAATTATAGTTCATTTTGGATTTGAACTATAATATTTTTCAATGATTTATAATTTGTGAAACAAAATATAGTTCATTTTGGATCTGAACTATAATATGGTCTCACTGATTTATATTTTGTGAAAACAATATAGTTCATTGTGTAAATGAACTATAATAGTTTTCAATGATTTCTATTTTGTAAAAAATAGTTTATTTTGGAATTAACCGGGATCATTTTGGAAATGAACTATAATATGTTTCAATGATTTATATATTTTTTTTTGTGAAAATATAGTTCATTTTGGAATTGAACCTTTTCAATGATTTGTATTTTATGAAAAATATAGTTCATTTTGAAAATGAACTATTTTCAATGATTTATATGTTGTAAATAAATTTAGTTCATTTTGGAATTGAACTATATGTTTTTTCAGAAAATAAACCTCTATATATACGTATCATTAATTAAACAAATTAAGTCTTTTTTTCATTGCCCCTAGACAAAGGCTAGCTGGGTTGGCGGGATGGTGGCGGAGAAAGCCTATGTCGTTGGAGTGCTTCGGGCCTTCATGGTGTAAGACACACCTGCTGCATGTTCTTCAGCACAAATTTTGATGAACCAGCCCTTTGTGTGGGGCTTAGATGTTGGGACACCAGGTTAATAACCATAAAGCCTAGGAAGAACCTTTAGGAACATTTTGTTTCATATAGATTGTTCTGTGACCCTTTTTATTGAAATATACTCTGAACATGTCTGAACTATGCTTCCTCATTTCCCCTGAGACCTTCATGTGGAACCTTACACTTGACACATCATAAAGACTGTATTTCGCTTCTGATCTGAACAATATGTGTAAGTAGAACGTCCTCCAGCACCCTGCCTCTCGCACAAGAAATCATTCAGGTCTGATTTGATCTTGTCTATATTTTGCAGCTTTTGTTTTGTCGCCCCTCAAGGCGCTGACTTAAAAGGGCTTAGTTTAAATCCACACTGTTTGAACAAGTGCCCCCAGTTTGGTGAACCATATAAAGCTGAGATTTTCCTTTGCACAAGGATGGCACAGGCACAAATCAAGAAGTGTACACAAAAACAGAGATAACACAGGGATGACACAAGGATGACACAGGCACAAATCAAGAAGTGTACACAAAAACAGAGATAACACAGGCACAAATCAAGAAGTGTACAAAGGAAATTGGAATTTTCCTGATCACTAGCTACTAGCTACTTCGGTGTTCTTTGTTCAGTTCCTTCTTGTTTGGTTCAAAACTTCTTCATGTATATACTGTTCCAATAAACTATTCAATTTTTATTGTTCACTTGTGACTTCACTAATGTAGCACCTTCCAGTCATCCCAAGGGGCGGCGTCAGCGCTGTAAACGCTTACGGACAAATGGCACAATGAAACAGCAGCAACAACCACAGCTGTTCTACCCAGCGTAACAGGTATAGGCACTACTGTTTGCAACGTTGATCCATTCGATATTGAAGCTGATGCAGCAAGCAGCAAAACACTCGGTGATGCCGGAAATCACAGCAACTGGATTTCACAACAGGACATGTTGCCCTGTTGAGTGCTATCTACTGTCCACGCTCCATCCCCTGAGACAATCTAGAAATCTCAGAGTCTAATTCTTCCACTGTGCCAAGCTCTGCATCTGTGCAAGGAGGATCCTGCGAATGACTCATGAATTTTAGAGAAGAACGTGGCTATCAAAAATGACCCAATCAATGCTGCCAAGCAAAGTGTAATTACATTCAGTAGGCTAATTGCGCTTAGTAGGGCCACAAACAGTTCAAGCATCCGCTGTACAAACAAGAATCTCTATACTATTGTCCTTCTTCATGTGTCTTTTCCGGAGTTCCTGGTCCGTTTCGCCTTCCGCACGAGTCATTTTCAAGCCTGAACAGAAGACTCACAATCTTTGGCTAGTTCTGGGCACGCGAGCGCTTTGGACAAACTAGCCATCAACAAACGCAATATAACTACCAGCAACAAAAGAATTGCTTCGGCTGATGCAGTGGTGTTTGCGCGTCTCCCACATGCCAAGACCCCTGAAGCGAAACTTCACAAAGCTGACACCTGCCTTCCAAACACCACCATCTCATTCGCTTAGCGACGATCGATGGATTTGGCTGATTGGTTTGCATCGAACGCGTGCAGCGCGGCAATCCGGAGAAGTTGTGGAGTGGGCACGTCACATAATATGATTCAACCTTGATCACATGATTGAAAAAGTCATGCTGGAATTTAAATGCATGTACTGTGCTGGTACTTCATGCTTGTGTTGGTACTTCATCTACTATCATACGGATACGCTACATCAAGAACATGTTCAGCAAAATAACTTTCACCCAATTGGAAGCTGAGAAGCAGGATGATGTCTCATGATGATCGAGAAGGGGCCAGCAAAAATTGTGGTCGGGTCGAATATAGTAGAAGACCGGCGGGGTTCGGCCAGTGGTTCCAGGCGTTCTGAACGTGTCTGTGGTTGTGTTCGCTTTACCCTCTCAATGGCAGGTTCACCTTGGCGAACTTGCGACGGCACTATTGCGTGCAAAGCGCTTTCGGCAGGGAGTGTAGAATCCGCTGCCGCTGACTGAACTAGTTCAGGCACCAACACTGACCCTTCAGGAATGGCATCAGCAACTTCATGTGTAGTTGATTGAACTGAAACTGGATCCATGACGGGCGCTTCATCAGGAACTTTCATGAAACCACCGGAAGAGCTTGCAGAAATTGAACTTGGCATGACTGCTTGATCTGCATTTTGCAAATCATCTCCTGTAGCAGCGTGAGTTGGCATGACTGCTTGATCTGCATTTTGCAAATCATCTCCTGCAGCAGCGTGAGTTACGCTTGAAGTAGACTCTGGTGCCGGCACTGGCCCTTCTGAATGTGGAGCAGTGTCAGTAGCATGTGGGCGGACGGTGGCCATGGAATCTGCTAAATCACCTGCTCTTGAAGTCGACCCAATATTTGCACCAGCTTGCGTGTCAGAATCCGACACTGACACTTGTTGAATTTCACGGTCCACATCCAGAACTGCAAGAGGACGTGTCGTTGGCGCAGCCAGGGCTTTCCGTCGTTTTTTTCTGACGCGGTGGTTGCGAAGGGCCTGGATCAACGAATGGTTGCTGACCAGAATCTTGATGCACGCGCAGCTGCATTCCTGCCAAAATGTTGTTTGACTTGCGAACACATTCTTAAAACAATGCTGTAGCACAAGTTTATTGAGTTTTTATACAGAGTGTAAATGTATAAATGCCGTTTGCCAGAACTGGTTGAACATGGTTGAACAGTTCAACTATAGTTGCGTTCAAGACATATGGCTTTCTGTTTTGATTTGTTTTGACCAGACATGGACAAGAGTGCAACTGGCCGGGGCTAATTCACAAAATGGTGTATGCAGGACGCAGGCCTGGTTCATCTTCAAAATCAACCGCTGAACGCCGTAAAGGTTTGTCCACCAAACGTTTTCGACCTTTTCTGAGACCTGCTTGGCTTGCTTGGCGTGAATCGCTAGCAATGCTCTTGTAGAAGCTAGCAGGCTGATGTGGGACTATTCGGGACAACAAGCTTCGTTGTCCAGCAGCAGCACAGGCAAGAATGGCATCATAGTAAGCCACAGGCTGCATGTGAAAGATTTTTGGCAAATGCTCTCCCAGCAGTTCCTCGTGCCTCAACAGGACTATGAAATATGATCTTCCCATTGCCCCACCAGTGATGTAGAAGTTTTTCTCTGCATTCATCCGGAATGGTTGGCATTTGGTCTTCGTCTCCGCATCCACAAGAACCCACCCCTTCTGCAAGAGCAAAAGAAACATTTCAAAGGTTGACAAATCACTGATGGCACCAACCTCACGAATCCATGATGTGATTGGGCCGAGTCTAGAGCATTTGTGGCCCACTTTGATCAAAGCAGCACCATTGTTGGTCAAGTGGTATTTGCCTTGCACTGCTTGCAAAATAAGATCCTTCTCAAGTAGGTATTGAAGACCTTCCATGGAAGGCGGACATTCGAAAAGGGAACCATGATTCGGAAACGCTCCTGAAGCAGCCATTGAAAGAAGCAACTGTCTTGACGCATCTGGCCTGAGTGTGAGCGTTTCTCTTCAAAGGTCTCACAGAAATAGATGGCACAGCCATCAATGCCATCAACACTGGAAAAATTACATGAAAAAACACATTTCACAAGGCAGCAGAAAAGCTTTAAGCAATAGGCAGGGGTTGCTACTGTACTTTTAATTTGGACAAAGTGCATTCTGGCCATCAAAGACCGTGGACCAAGGACAATGTTGACCGAACGTTCGCTTTGCCAAACAGACATAGATTGCTGATAATTCTCGAATGACCGGTCAAGCATGCGAAAGCACATGGGCAGACCGTAAGAGACCAAGGTGATGTCTGTGGCATGGTCGTCTACTTCACTTCCAGCGGTTGGAATGTAGGGTTGGACCATCACGTCATATGACTCCATTTGAGTCCCCAGCAACTTGTAGCTGTTCATGTTCTCGGAGACAACGGTGAAAAAATGAATTCACTGTCCAACAACAGGCTGGCAGAGTCTGTCGCTGAGCCTGCTTGGACAACAGATGGGAAATTAGAAGCGCACGCTCCGGCCATGAATGAGAAGGCACTGCCACCACCCAATTCATCAGGCCGATTGGTGATCCTTCTCTCAAAAGGAACAACACTGGAAACGCCAATGTCCATTGGTGACACTGAAGGTTCATCTTGCACTGATGTCAAAAACTCTTGGATACCAAGTTCACGGCTGCCATCAGGATCATCAGGAGCAGGAGCACCCAGCTGCTTCCGACTGGGCGGTGGTTGCGCAAAGGATGACTGAAGCATGGACAACATGTCTCCAAGCCAGCTCTTCTTTCCTCCAAAAAGAATTTTCTTGCCGTTCACTGGGGTTGCTGAAGCACGCCGGAGATGATCAATCAGAGCTTTGCTCAATGGCGATAGATCATGAGCAGGCTGAACAATAGAAACCGGAGCTGGAACTAGCTCAGATTTATCAGAGATTTCCAATTCCAGGCGCTTGCTCTGGGAGTGCTTAATCCGGGCATTGTCACGATAAATAAGGTCAGCAGTTTGCCTCTCATTCAACGATGCCAAATACTGAGATGGCTGCAGGCCCAACATCTTCCTAAGTTTCAACTGAAAACAAACATTTCCTGTTGGTGCCACAAGAAACTCACCAATTTCATCAAACACCAAAATGTCTAAATTTGCTACATAGCCTCCAAACCAGTGACTTGAACCCTTCGCTGGTCTCAATCTTCGCTAGGCAATCCTCTAGCTTCTTCAAGACCTTGGATGGTGCAGACATGATGAGAACCTTAACGCGTGTCCACTCCAAACGTTAACCAGTCCACACATAGGGCAAGAACGCACTGCATTGAACATGCAACTTAGAGACCGCTGGATGTCTCATAGAGAAATCAACCAGATGGTTAAAGCGAAGCTCCATGGATAAAAATGATAGTTTTGCAGATGGAGCTTTCCGAACAACCCTCGCCAGTCGCGAGTGCAAGCCTTCAGTCGATTGTTCAACTACGCGCACCTTAATGATGTGGCACCAAGAACGACAATACCATACGGACAATTTGTAGACCTTGTAACAATAAATAAGAACCAACATTGCATTTAAGAGGTATGCAGCATAAATACAGTAACAGTACAACCTTAAACAAATATTGTAGAAACGCCAAGGAACCAAGCGAAAAGCCGAAAGCCACTGTTGAAAATCGACTGCATCGCTCATGTCTGCCAATCTCTCACCATTTGCGACCCGTTGCACAAAGCTTCTCAATGGAGGATCTTCGATGGCACCAGCAACGCCCACAAACTCTGGGTCCAAGAAACGGCGGGTTTGCATGTGATCCAGAATGCCAGGGCCTCCGTCAGACCACATCCGAAGAACATTCCTTGCAGTGGATCGTTGCACCATTTCATCATCATGAGCCAAAGCGCCTTAGAAGGCTCATTAGGGAAAGGGAAGTGAACAGGGCGGCGACCTAGCCAATGTATCCAGTGAACCGTGAAACATGATGACATATGTATGTATATATTTTTCTTTGATCCTACAATCCCAAATCTTTGATAGCATTTTTTCTTTGCTTGCTGTTCCGATAAGCCCCCATTTGACTTCTGCTAAGAACAAGATTTCAATCTGAATTGTAAATGTAAATGTGGTTGGCTTGCAATTTTCAGGCTGAGTTGCACAGGGCCCACGGCAGCTGCCCCCCAGAAGTTGAGCTTTGAAAGGAGCTGGCCTGAATCAACCAACATGGAAAACTGCATGACTACGCGCTCCACTCTCTGCAAAAAAAAGTTCCTGAGGAACCATTGCTCTAGGCCTCATTCCAAATTGTTTTCATTTTTGTGCAGCTGATGCCATGTTAGCGCCCATGCAGCAACACTAAACACGATAGTTGAGGCCTGGCCTGGGGCCTGGGGACATCGTGTTCTGCGGCCGTTATTTTGTGTGAAAACAACTCAATATCACTTGATATCAATTGTTTGAGACGCTCTTGTATATGCGAGTCGGCGTTCGTGTGCCCTCTTGGGTATTCACAAACAGTGATCTAACATGATCTAACAGTGATTCAGCCAAGTAGCCAAACAGCCGAGATCTTGCTGTCACCCAGTCAGAATGCAATTCATTCGCAGCAGCTGTGTCGCGACCCATGCGACAAAACTGAGCTGGCAAAGTGCTTTGCTGGCGCGCCATCAGTTTGAGCTGCTGGTGTAATCCAGTCCCAGCAGCCAACTCAGGAGCACGGCAGCCCTTATGTGGGCAAGACAAGTCGCTTTCAGGTTTTTGATTTCCTTTGTGCGAAAGTAGCGGCTCATGGCATGAACATCCACCTGCCCATCGCCCCACATACTCTGCTTCAAAAGCAAGCCCAGAAACCAGTGAAGTTCTGGCCCAAAACACATCCGATTTGATTGCTGCATCAGCTTCTTGAAAGTCCGCACTTAAGGTCCATTTGCCATGCCCAGCTGCTCCACGTAAAAAAAAGTTCCATGTTCCAGAAGCGACAGAGATGTTCTTCTATCTCTAGAAGGTTCACACTGAATTCTACTATCACTTCCCATCTTAACCCACCAAGCTTTGCAGCAAATGATTCTATGGCAGACCTTGCAGCAATTTCACTTTCCGGCACGCATACTGCTGCAAGCCTCTCACGATACTGCACCCGCGACAGTAGCTTCTCGAGCGCTTTCAGTTGCGTCAGCAAAGCGTCCCACATTGACATGCTGCTGAGGACAGATTCCAGAAGGTTGTCTGATATATGCTTTAGTCCCGGCACATGGAAAGCGTTTGGAAACAAAGACCTTTGCTGCTGTTGCTGAAACGGTTGAACCTGCTGCTCAATCGGTTGAACCTGCTGCTCAATCGGTTGAACCTGCTGCTCAATCGGTTGAACCTGCTGCTCACGGCGTTGGTTTGCCTGCTGGTGCGCATCGATCGCTTCCTCTGGGAGAGCAATCGTGGTAACAGCGCTAACATCATCAGCCAGGGACAAGCATTGAGTTTGCACTGGCTTGGATTGGAGTAGACTTGCCGTATCGGTGACCAGCTTTTCAGTTTGCAACTCTGGCAGAGTTCCAAAGCCAAATTCTGTGCCTTGGTCTGATGTAATTGATATTACCTGCCGGCAATACCGCTTGAATGTCTCAGATCTTTCTTTCTCATTTTGATTGTCGTTTGGCAACTCTAGCTGCAACACCCAAATCAGCGCCGATGCTTTCGATACAAGTGTAGTGAATCCTTGGGCCACAATGTGGTACACAGGCGTTGCCCAAGCTACAGTGTACAGTGTACAATAGACTAGGAGAGCATATTTCAATCCATGAACAACAATTAAACTTTAAGCGCTCCTCAATCGCCAACTTGCCTTCTTATTGAACTGACACATTGTTTGCAAAGAATGCTTTGCAACAAATATAATTATTCCTAGGAACCTTTACCCAAGGCTACCACTGGCAAAGATCGTTGCTCCAAGCGAAAACCACGGGACACACTGGATGAATCATCCAAGGTGTGCACAAAGTCTGCAAGTACATCGTCGCACCTTGCATTGGCCCAGTTCGTTAACCCATCTGCCGGATGTGTCCACAAGGCAACCAATGGATGACCCCTTTGATTGAAATATATAGATAGTAATAAAGCTGATAGTGGGCAGACAAATTGTGTAAACAAATGATTAAGTGCATCGTTTGATAGACAACACATATAGAAAAAAAAGAAAGATAGTAAAAAGAGTAAAGAGGGAGCTAGAGCTGATCACTAGAGATAGAAACATAACAAAATAGAGGTCAGAACTAAAAATAGAGCAGTAGGGAAATGGAAGATCAATAGTCATTAGTCTGTACATCAAAAGTTCGATCGATAATCGATACATCGATAATCTGACACATAAGTAGGCATGCTGGTGGATTGTAGGTGAATAGACCTGATCGCATTCTCATTTCGTGTTTGCCTTCCACTACAAGGCAAGGGTGCCTGGCTGAGAATTCCTCTGTCAGGAAGAGTTCTTTGCGTTGGTCTGAAGAATCTGCGCCTGAGAAAGGGCAAGATGTCGCTAAAGCCTTGCAATTTGGACCTTCTTACTTCTTACCTTCTTTCAAATCATCTCCAAAGGACTGACTGAACAATTTGCAACATCATTCGATTCAAGCTTAGAAACATAGGCTGACCCACCGGCTTTGCAAACCTTCTTCCAACCACTGCTGTCTTCGACACATCATCAAGAAGACGTCTAGTCTATACTTTGCCTTCGACATTGTTGCCCCTTGGGGACCCTGAAGAGCACTGAAGTCTCTGTCCAAATCTAAATCAGAGTCCCAATTCCCTGTGTGAATAGAACGCGTCGCTGCCATGACTTGTCTAAAATCTCCACTGGCAATAGCAGCTGCTGTCACCATTGCAGCCGTAAACTTCTTTGAGGACCGTAGCTGGTTACTCCTTGGCTTGTACATTCAGTCAGCAACCGCATTTGCGTACATTTCAAGAGCGGTCAGAATGTTCTATAGGCCAGTGAGTGACAGTGTTCTATTCATTTTTTGTTTTTGAAAAACACAAATCTTGGGCCAGCTTGGGACCATCAAGCCAATTAAATACAAGGTGTCACACAAGTGTGTAAGCCAAGATAACGTCAACTTTCAACCAAAACAAAGACACCGCTCGTGAGACAAAAACAACCCCAACGTTTGCAAGACCTGTGTGCCTGAAGCCTGAAGACCTCTTGCCAGCTTGGCGTGACTGTCTTTTTTCGGAAATGAACTGTTGAAGCGACAAACTTGCTACGCGACATGGAAAAATGTTTGCTATGCAACATGGAAAACAGTGTTAGTGTCACAGTGTTTGGTGTTTATACCAAACCGATGGCAGGGCACAGTGCGGTGAAAGAGATCAACTGTCGGATTGAATACACCGGACGGCCCATACCATGTTGCTGTCGGGGTCGCAACCGTTCACGCTGATCCGCTTCTTCTTCTTTGTCGGCCTGCGCCAGGCGCCAGCGCCCCTTGTCATACTTCACCGTCTCAAAAGTTTCATTTTCCTATTCCTACTTGCCATCTTCAACACATATACTACAAACGGGAGCAGTCTGAGTCAGAGTCTGAGGATTCTTTGTTTGTTGTTTTGTTGCGCCCACCCTTACGGCCCTTACCCTTACCAGAACGAATTTGTTTCCAGTGAAATTTCCTGCCTGAGCCAATTCCTGCAGCAACTTGAGTCCACGGTAGTACTTGCTTATCTGCCAGCAGGGTTTTGCATTGAGCTACATCAACACTGCAAGTCAAAGGGATCACCAAACTGTTGTGCCCAACTCAAGTGTTTTGGACAGTGCCTGCAGTTCACTCTGCGACGCTCTCACAAAAGCCCTGCCAACACATATTGGTTTTTCACCAGTACAGCAGTGGCATGCCAGCCTCTTCAAGAGTCCCATAGCACAGCGCCGGCCCTGCGCATTCTTCAAATGCTTGCTGGGCAATCGCCGCTCGCGCTGCTGCCCGCTCCATTGCCGATTGCCCTTGTTGAGGGGTGTTTTGATTTTTTAAATGACGTTCCGGTCACTGATCATGCAGGGTGTTTGTTGCTGCCATCACATGAAAGCCGATCACATCACACTGTTTTTTTGGTTGCGATCACATGAAAACCATGTCCATTATGTCTATCTAAAAGTTGCAACCCCTGTAACATTTAACCTTGCTGCTGCCCCGACATCATCCTGGGCCCAGCTGCCCAAAACACCCGCAGGCAGGCAGCAGTCTGAGTTGTCTTGCCCTTAAAACGCA